AGCCGGCTCTCCTGTTCTCCTGGGCTGGCAGGGCTTGCTCTGGATCCTAGAAGCGGGGCAGTTTCCCTGACTGTCGGCACAGGGTAGGAGGGAGCTTTGCGGGCTCTGCCCACATACTAGCGTCCCGTGGGATCAGGAGGCACCAGCCTGGTCTAGATCTTGCCCCGGATCTCCCTTGTAACCTTCCCCATCGGCATGCGCCGCAGCAGCCCGCGCTCTTCCCTAATCCCCGGTGGGACAGCGTGTGCCCGGCACGTTGCTGACACGGGGCGGGTGCAGGATCACTGTGCGCTCACAGCTGCTGCTCCCAGAGCAGGGTCTGATGCCGATTTCATGGCTGAGGCGGCAGCAGTTGGGTGCTGTGTTTGTGCACCTCGGGGTGGGGAGGAAGAGAGGGGCTCCTGCTCCTGACCTGGCTTTCAGATCACGTCAGCCTCTTTTCCTGTCCTTCAGGCTGTCCTCATCTGCTCCCAAACTGCCAAATCCCGAAAAGCCTGCCTTCAGCTTCACCCTCGACTTGGCCCCTCAGTCCCCAGCCTGCCCCCTGACCAACGGTTCCACTGCCCACCCTTCGCCCCACCTTCCTCCCTGCAGCAGGGAGAGGCGGCCCAGCCAGGTCACCCCTGGCTCCTCTAAAAAGAAGCGGCGAAAGCAGCATCGTGGAGCAGACAGCAGCCTTCGTGCTCCAGCTGCAAAGGCAAGGAGGAAGTCTCCAGCCCCCCTCGGAATAAGAAGAATCTGGCTCAGGAGGGCTCGGTGTCCCTCGCAGGGAAGGGTCCCAGCGGTGGCCAGGAGGGGCTGGGCTGTCAGGACCTGGAGAGCTGGCCCAAGCAGCAAGTGTCAGACCCCAGCACTCACCTGGACACAGAGCCCGTCTTCCCCCTCAAGAAGAAGAAGAAAAAGAGAAGGTTGGAGGAGACAGAAGAGCGCGGCTCTGGGGCACTGTCCTCGGGCAGGTGAGGGGCTAGGGTCACATGAGAGCCCTGCGCACCTCGGTTCTGCCTGATGTTGGGCTCCCCAGGCTGCGGCCGGGTGCCTCTCCTCTTTCTGCGGGTGCGATGAGCCTTGCCATGGAGCCAGCTGAAGCGCCGGCTTGCTGGGGGTGGTTTCGCTCCTCCCCGCGTGTCGCGCTGGGGTGTGGGTGTCCCTTTGTGCCATTGCCCTGTGGGGAGCTCAGCAGCGGGGTGTGGGTGTCCCTTTGTGCCATTGCCCTGTGGGGAGCTCAGACGCTCCCCGCTCTGCTCTGCTCTGCTCTGGCTAGAGCCAGCTGACCCCTGCTGCCTTCCCCAGCTCCAGGAGGGCTGAGCTGGAGCCCTGGAGGGCAAAGCAGCAGCGGAGCATGGAGGCTGGGGCTGGGGGGGGCGGGCACCGCA